GTCCTCAGGGAGAGGTGGGGGGGTCTGGGAGGGTGGGTGGGTGGGGGGGCCCAGTGTGTCCTAGGGGTGGGGCCTGGGGAGGGGTGGGGCCAAGCATGTCCTGGGGGGGGGGGTCTGGGATCCTAGGAGGAGCCTAGTGTGTCCTAGGGGTGGGGTTTGGGTTTAGAGGGTGGGGCTTGGGCAGGGGTGGGGCCAAGCATTGTCCAAGGGAAGGGAGAGGAAGGGGTGAAGAAGGGGGCAGTGGGAGTGGCCTGGGGGGTGGAGCCTGGGGAAGGAGGGGCCAAGTGCCTCTAAGGGGGAGGATGGGGTCTAGTGGCTAGGGCCAAGTATGGCCGAGGGCGAGTAGGTGCTGTGTGCATCATTGGCTCTTAAGGGAGGGGTTAAACTGAACTGGAGCAGCAGGGGGTGGGGTGGAGCCAACTACATTGGGGGGGTGGGGTCAAACAGACTTTAACGCGGGCAGGGGTGGGGCTAAGCGGTTCTTCAGGTGAGTAGAGGGGGTTGTGAGGAAACCCATTCTGGGCAGGGGGTGGGGATGGGAGGTGGCCTGGCTAAGAGCTGAGGGGAATCTAAAGAGTGGGCTGGACCCCCATAGTGGGTGGAGCCAAACTGATGAGGGGTGGGGGGCAGAGGGGAGAGGCTGAAGTGGCGGGGGGGAGGGCACCTGGGGGCATGTAAAGGGAAGCTGGGACCAGAAGGTGTCTGAGTGGGGAGGGAGGGAGGGAATTCTAGGGGTCGGGTGTAAATGGAGGGTGCCTCCGGGGAGGGATGGTTCTGTGTGTGAGGTTGTGGCTGTGGCTGTGAGAGGGATGGGGGGGGGCACATATCTTGTGTGGGGGGGAGCTGGAAGGGGGGATGGTTTGTGGGAGGAAGATTAGCTTCTAGCATTAGGAAAGGGGTGGTGGGATCGGCGGGGATGGGATACGTGGGTTGAGTGGGTGAAGGGGATGGGAGAGGTCATGGGCTGATCAGTGGTCCTGCCTGGCCTTGTAATTGGCGCCTATGAATTCGGTGGGCCATGGGGGCGGGAAGAGATGTGAAGGGGAGGGCGGTGTGGGGTGTGTATTGGGAAGGCTGACCCTGGCTCGGGGTGAGGAGTGTGGGGTCTCTGCCTTGGGGCTGGAGTGCCCTAGACTTTTAGGGCTTATCCAGAGGTGCTTCCCTGCCTGCCCCATCAACAGCCCAGGGGGAAGGGCTGCTGGCTGAGGGAGGCTGGAGGCTGACCTGTAACCTCTCCACTTTCTTCCCTGGGAAACCACCTGCAGCCACCCAGGTGCTGGGCACGGTTAAGTGGTTCAATGTTCGCAACGGCTATGGATTTATTAACAGGTAAGCTCCCCACCCCCCGCTTAGACTGTTGGGACTCGGCAGGGCTGAGGCTGGGGGGCTCACGTGCGGGGAGACGACTTGGTGGGGCGGGGATCAGACTTTCTCAAGCAGAGCTGAGACAGCGATAACCGTCTTTTACCGAGCAAACCACAGCGCTTAGGAGACATCTCAGGAGGTGCTTAACTTCTCAACTGTAAGTCCTACTTTGGTGGTCTTGTGACATGCTCCAGTGACACGTTCCTACCTCTTCTCCACCTTGCAAGTTGTGCCTGCAATCTGGGCAGAGGCGGTGCCCAGTAAGTTTCTTCCCACCACACTCTTGTCCCCCTCTGATGTGTGAATACCATCTCCTGAGGAACAATACTGAATTGGGGATCAGCTGTTTTAAATTCACCTGTGTGTACCTGAATGACTAAACTAAAACTGAAATAGACCTGGTTTCGACCAGTATTGGCCAGACAGCCCACCCCTTTGAAAATCTTGTTGGACCAGGGGGAGTTCTTTTGACAGGCAAGTAAAATACAGTTGTCAGAGGGTGGATAGAGATGGGGTTGGGAAGGAATTTTCCTCCAGGGCAGGTTGATAGAAGCCCTGGTGGTTTTTTGCTTCCTTTGCAGCATGGGGCATGGGTCACTTGCTGGAAGATTCTCTGCACCTTGAAGTCTTTAAACCACGATTTGAGGACTTCAATGGCTCAGACATAGGTTTGATGCAGGAGTGGGTGGGTGAGATTCTGTGGCCTGTATTGTGCAGGAGGTTAGATTAGACTATCATATTGGTCCCTTCTGATCTTAAAGTCGATGATTCTATGAACTGCTGGGTTAATAAATGTTCATGGCTAGTGCGGCCTTCTAAAATGGTTGGCACTTTGACTTGGTTTGAACTGGATTTGTATGAAGTCCCAAAAGGCTTTTAAAAACGTCTTTCACTAGAAATCCAGATTTTTCTGTGGCTTTTTTCCCTAAGTGACTAAAGAATTGATCAAACTGCAGTCGCTTCCTTGGTGTCTATGAAAACGTAAGCAATAGGATTAGCCCTCTGTGTAAACAAGTTATCTTGGGAGGGAAAGTCAAAGGTGATGGGCGCTCTGACCGCTGAGATCCCAATGCGGTCCTCCACAGAGGCATCCAGCAAAGATGAGCCTTGATATCCCCAATGCTCTTACGGGTTAGGTGCGGGGCTGGTTCTTTAAACACCTTGCTATTTGGGATTTGTTGTTAAAAATCAGCCGTGCACTCGTTCTCTCCGAAGCAGAATGACAGCCAGTGTTCGCACCTCATGGAGATGCTGGGGGCGGGGCAGTTTCACCTCTTGGCTAATATTCTGCTTGAAGAATGGGTGTTTCTTTAATTGCTTAAAAGTCCTTGATTTGATCCCTGACCAAAAAAGATCCTGTTAACATGCCACAAGTTGCAGTATCTCAACTGGGCTTAGACCCGTCTCTGACCTTGGCAAATGTCCTTTGTGGACAGATCCTCAGCTGGCATCCGTATGACCGCAGCAGAGGATTTGGGCTTCAGTTTCTGTATAATAAGTGGGGTGCGAGGTTTAAGCACTCAGCCAAGATATAATTGAGTACTTCAGTGCGCCCGAACATCCAGAAGAGGGCATTGTGTTGCAGGCAATGAGATGCTGATGCTGCTGGGATCTGCCACGGTCTGGCAGGGCCGTGGCCTCAAACTTGCAAGAGCTGTGCAGCCCCATGGCGTGACCTTTTTTGCAGCCCTGAGCGACGTCGGTGGATCGACCTACGTCTTAGGTGCAGAGATTGAGACCTTCCATGCAACCATCGTGGTGCTGTCTTGGCCTTATTGCTAAAGGCGCAAAACTCCAGGCGCACCTAGGAGGCTTTGACAAATAATGTGTAGCAATGTAAACTCCCACCCAATCTGTTCCCTGCTCTAAAGTGCCCAAGCAAGGCACTGGGAGGGGGTATGGGGACTGCGAGAGGAGGGCGGAGGGGGAGGAAGCCTGGCAGCTGAAAGCACAGGGATGGTGGGCACTAACCGAGGGAGAGGCAGGATTATGCAGGGCCTGGTCTGGTGGTTTGTGCATGGGCCACGTCACAGTGCCAGGCACGGAGCCTTGATCACTCAAACTCTCTCCATCCCTGCAGGAACGACACCAAGGAGGATGTTTTTGTGCACCAGGTAAGACCTTGGTCAGTTTCAGGACGTGATTCTCGGTTTCAGGAACTGGTTGGCACCTGGCATGCCAGACACCCCCCGGCCTTCCCCATGCCCTCGGCTGAGCACAACTGTCTCCCGGGCTCTCCTTCTGTTCCTGGGCCTGCTCTTTGAGAAGCAGCATTTGCCGGGCGCACATGGGTATAATGGGGCTCCACCTCTCTGTGATCACTCGAATTCTAGCCCCCAGCGGCTTGTGGGTCTCTGAGGTAGCTGGTGCCCAGCAGTTGCAATTCTGCTCTGCCAGGGTTGAGGGAGTTCGGGGCGAGGGGGCGGAACTGGGGTAGTGCCCTGTTTCCAGGTGGGCACTCAGTTTTGGCGGGACTTGAGCTTGTTTCTAGCACAGGGGTGGGCAAACTAGGGCCCGCAGGCCACATCCGGCCTGCAGGACTGTCCTGCCCGACCCCTGATCTCCTGGCCCGGGAGGCTCGCCCCCGGCCCCTTCCCTGCTGTCCCCCCTCCCCCGCAGCCTCAGCTTGCTCGCTGTGCTGCTGGCGTAATGCTCTGGGTGGTGGGGCTGTGAGCTCCTGGGGGCAATGCAGCTGCAGAGCCCGGCCTGACCCGGCGCTCTGAGCTACGCGGAGGTGGTGTGGCCCAGCTCCAGCCAGGCGGTGCGGCTGTAGCGCCGTCAGCCACTGCTGCTCCAGGCAGCGTGGTAAGGGAGCAGGGGAGGTTGGATAGAGGGCAGGGGAGTTTGGGGTGGTGGGCAGGAGTGTGGATAGGAGTTGGGGTGGTGGTGATGGTGGGGGAATGGGGGTCGAATGCAGGCAGGTGTCCCGGAGGGCAGTCAGGGAGGACGGGGGGGTTGGATGGGGTGACAGGGGGCAGTCAGGGAACAGGGAGCAGGGGTGTGGTTGGGGTGGGAGTCCCGGGGTGGGGACGGGGCCACGACCCCCTCCCCTAACCAGCCCTCCATACAATTTCCGAAACCCGATACGGCCCTCAGGCCAAAAAGTTTGCCCGCCCCTGTTCTAGCACCATGGGGCAAGCAGTGGCTTGGCCCTAACTGGGAGCATGGAGAAGCCCAGCATGGAGATGGCCCCTTGTTCCTGGATTGGGTCGCTCTCCACATGAAGAGCTGGGTGGGAGGAGCAGTTGTTTCTCATCAGTCTGAGGGACCATGGGATGTAGCTTCAAATTTGCCCATCTCCTGGGGCAAGCTGACCCCGCCCCCAATCTCTTCTCTCTGCTGCTGCCTCCAGACAGCCATCAAGAGGAACAACCCTCGGAAGTTCCTGCGCAGCGTCGGCGATGGGGAGACGGTGGAGTTTGATGTTGTGGAAGGAGAGAAGGTGAGGCGGGGAGGCCGGGCCGACGCGTGCAGAGGAGCTGGCAAAGATCGGGGTGGGGGTAAGGGGTGGGTCTGTTTCCCCTGCTCAGGGCTTGTCTCCTCACGTCTGCTGCAGGGCGCTGAGGCGGCCAACGTCACCGGCCCGGGTGGCGTGCCGGTGAAAGGCAGCCGCTATGCCCCCAACCGCCGGCGCTTCCGCAGATTCATCCCCAGGCCCCGGCAGGCCCAGCTGCCACCGCAGGACGCCACCAGAGTGGAAGGGGCTGCTGAGCCGGTCAGCGAGGGGGAGAGAGCCGACGACGCCATGCAGCAGCAGCAGCCCCGCAGGAGGCGCCCTTTGCCATTCTTCTTCCGCCGGAGATTTGTGCGTGGGCCCCGGCCTCCGATCCAGCAGCAAGCCCAGCCGGTGCAGGTGAGGCCTGGGCATGGCAAGGGGGAAGCAGCCTGCTCTCTGCTAGCTGATCCCAGGCCCTGTGGGATAGTATTTGGGCCTGTAAAACGGCAGAGTTCATGCACAGGTTCATCTACCTTCTTAGCGGCAGATCTGTCACAAGATCATATGATCAGAGTTATGTTTGCCATAGGGCATGGAAGGCGCAGAACCTAAAGATGCCACCCAGCCGGAGGGAGACCAGCAACTGCCAGTCCAGGCAGGGGAGAGAGCTCCGGCCCCTCGCTTCCGGCCCAGATACCGCAGGTAAGTGTGCAGAGGCCAGCTTCCTCTGGCTAGTGGGATGTCCCTTGCTGGCTTGCTGTGCCATTGGTCCCTTCTCCACTGTGGCGGCAGCTGCCAGTGATCCGATTTTGCTTTGAGATCTCAACTGGGCCAGTCTCCATCTGGCTCTAAAACAGGCCTGTGCGATCCATCTGCCTCCTAAATTAAGGGTGGGGATGGTCAAAGGTGGGACTCAAAAACCCCGTTTCCATTGGGGGTTAAGGATCAAAATCTCACCCTGAATCTCTGCTCCAGTGGGGAAACAGAAGCCCTTTTTTTTTTGTGGGACCACCATAAACACAAGAGTAGAACGCCCAGTTACCATCCCCTTCCACGCTGTCCTAGCAGGTGATCTTGCTAGAAGAGTTCATCAAAGCTTGATTCCTGCCTTCACGCAACTGAAAGCAGCGAGGCCTGCCCTGAGGCTGGCTCGGGAGAAAAGCAGCTTAGAATAACCATGGATGGGGTGGAAAATGGTAATGGGAAATGGTCTAGCCTCCCAGGGCTAGACTGGGATTAGCAGATGGGTATCTGCAAGCGTCCCAAGCAGCGATTTGGGACCAGCAATCTGAAAGCGCGATCATGTAGCTGCTGTTTGACCACTGGGAACTGAGGCTCGCCCTGATGCACTAAAACAACCGTCTCTTGGAAGCTGTGGGTTAAATTTGGCTCTTCATGATGGAAGGTGAGCCAGATATCTCCCCCTTTTCGGGGAGCAATACCCAAAGCTGCACTGGAAAAGAGACACCTCTAGTCTATTAGAACGCTGTCCCCCCCACTAATCGTGAGGCCAGTCATTGGCCTAGCCATGGAGGCCTCAATACCAGTGTAACTGGTGTGGAATCTTAATGCTAGAGCTGCATGTACCCTTCTGGGTGCCTTCTAGGGAATAGGGGTTTTCCAATACCACTAGGCCTCTGGCTTCACTTAGCACCACATGCTACCTGTGTAGGGTTTCTACTAGGATATTACTTTTGATTTGGGGGGGGGGGGTGACTTTGCTCTAAAGGTGACTATACTAGTCTAGAGGGAAGTACCTTTATATCACTATAACTGTCCAGACTAGGAGGGTTGTACTACTTTATTATAGTTAGTGGCACAAGTTGTGTCGATGAGGCCTGAGACACCCTGCTAGTTACGCCCCCCCCGGATAGTGTGGGTGGCTGAAACCTTGGGTCTGGATGAGTAGTGTGGGAAGTGAATGAATTCCCGGTGACAGACTTGCTCGAATCAGGACAACTGGTCAGAAAATGACTCAACTGAACATTTTGTATCTTCAGGGGAGGGAGAAACCCAAATGTTTTAATTCTGAAATGCTGCTATGGTGCATCATGGGAACTGTAGTTTTGGTGCCTTGTGCACCTGTTCTCCTGGTCAGACTACAACTCCCATGATGCACCCTGCTCATGTCTCTGAGGCAAGGCAATGGATCGTGGGAGATGGACTTTAGCCAGGGAGCCCAGACCATAAGGAATTGGGAGCACGAGGCACCCAAACTACAACTCCCATGATGCATCATGGTCTTGCTTCTTGGTGAGGCAAGACAGTGCATCATGGAAGATGGAGTTGTAATCAAGATGCCTGGACCATCTCTTTTCCCATGATGCATTGCCTCACCAAGAAGCAAGACCATGGCACATCATGGGAATTGTAGTCTGAACAGGAGCATGACACCCCCAAACTACAGTTCCCATGATGCACCATGGTCTTGCTTTTTGATAAGGCAATGCATTATGGGAGATGGAGTTCAACCAAGGAGTCAGACCATAGAGGGGAATGGACAACATGAGGCAGCCAAGCTACAGTTCCCACGCGGTGCAGCTGTGACACTTCAGAATTGAAATCTTGTGGAACTGGAAACTCTTGGGCTTCTGAGCAGTCAGTTTCCAGGGAAACGATTATCAATTTTTTCTGTCAAACCTTCATTTAATCAAAACCCAATTTTCCATCAGCAGTTTTCAGCCAGGACACCTGGGTCCCATTCCCAGCTCCGGGCAAGCTGCTGCTCTGTGGATACAATGGGAAGTCTGGCTAACTCAGAGAGCTTAGGTTGCCGGTCACACATTAAGGTGCTTGGCACAGAGTAGTGGTGCTAGTAAAAGGTTCTCTGGGAGTCCGGCCAAAGCAGGTTAGACTTCCTGGCCCTGCAGAGGCCTGCTCGTAACCTTCTTCCATCCAGACCCTTCCGCCCCCGCCCGCCACAACAACCCACCACTGAAGGAGGCGACGGTGAGACCAAAGTGGTGCCAGCCCCAGCAGACGGCATCCGTCCCGAACCCCAGCGCCAGCGTAACCGGCCCTACTTCCAGCGCAGACGGCAGCAAACAGCTGGCACCCGGCCGGCGGCGGCAGAGGTGAGAGCTGGGGTGGGCAATTCCTTGGTGGCAGGTACTCGGTACCTAAAACCATGGCCACTTGACTCCTTTCTCAGACAGGGGAGCTCAGGGCAACTGGGTGTGTGTGTACGTACACACCCATGCCATATGGGCACGTAGTGGGTTGGATGGCCCTGCAGTGCATTTTGGGATAGGCATCAGAGGAGGCAGTAAACCAGGGGGGTCCAGAATCTATCCCCCCAATCGCAGCAGGTGAGAGAGGGCCTCTGAGCAACTGAAAGCTGTAATAGAAGTTCTCCATCTAGGGGGGCCTATAACCCTAAGCTTAATGGGGATAAGCTGCTTGGGATTTCCCGATGGTTAGGACCCCATCCTGAGTCTTGGAAGACTGAAGTTCAAATCCTGCTGTGCTCAACTTTGTGACCGTGAGCATGTCACTTAGCGTCTGTGCCTCAGTTTCCCTTGTCTAACATGAAGATTGTAGCACTGGCCTGACCTCATACGGGTGGTGGTTCCCCTCCCACCTTAAAATAGTGAAGCATTTAAACGTTATGGATAGTCGGGGGGGGGGGGAGGCCGGTGGAAAAGTACATGAGAGAGATGAAGGACCTAGTGAAGTTTGAACCCTCAGTGTTAAAATTGCAAAGACTTAGATCCCGGCTCGTCGGTGTCTTGGCACTAAACGGCAGTCTTAAACATGGGTATCTTAGCGTAGCTGGTAAGACTGGCAAGACTGGCACTAAACTGGCCCCTCCCACAGTCACGTGGCTCAGGGTTTTTGGCTGTACTGGGTACTAGGGCAGAGGTAGGCAAACTATGGCCTGCAGGCCACCTCCAGCCCGTGGGACCCTCCTGCCTGGCCCCTGAGCTCCTACCTGGGAGGCTAGCCCCGGCCCCTCCCCCACAGCCTCCACTTGCTCTGCAGGTGGCGAGCTCCTGGGGCCTGACCCAATGCTCTGTGCAGTGCCATGGCGTGGCTGGCTCCCGCCGGGTGGCGCAGCTGCCTGTCCTGCCATTCTGGGCGGCATGGCTGTAGTGCTGCCAGCCATCGGCGCTCCAGGCAGCGCAGTAAGGGGGCAGGGAGGGGGTGTTCGGGGTGGTGGTGGTTAGGGGGCAGGGTTGTGGCTAGGGGTCGAGGCGGTCAGAGGGTGGGGAACAGGGGGATTGAATGGGGGTAGGGGTTCCAGGGGGGCAGTCAGGAAGGAGGCTGGGGTTGGATGGGGCAGGGGTCCCCGGGGGGGGCTGTTGGGGTGAAAAGCAGGGGGAGTCGGATGGGGGTGGGGGCCGGGCCACGCCTGACTGTTTGGGGAGGCACAGCCTTCCCTAACCGGCCCTCCATACAATTTCGGAAACCCGATGCGGTCCTCAGGCCAAAAAGTTTGCCTGCCCCAGTATTAGGGACTCTGGTTTGGGGAGGGATGTGGGGGGGTTGGAAAGAGGGAAAATTGTGACCTCCTGCGTCTGCAGAATGCCCCCAGCAACTTCTGCGGCAAGCCCCATAACTTGAGCTTGAGCAGAGCGTATCTGAGGCCAGTGTTGGTTTAAAGACTCCAGGGATGGAGAATCGTCCACGCCCCTTGTGCAGGAAGCCACTCAATCAGATTTACAGCCCTGGCAGGCCAATGTTGCAATGCAACTGAAGGGAACAGGCCCCCAGACACTTTCCAGTAGGCGGCAGCCCCACCAGCTGTTGGGCTGCGACCTTATCAGATCAAGGAAGTTAACACAGGGTTGGGCCTGTGCTCCTGTGTGGGTGACTCAGTAGGTGGTGCCCTACCCCGAGTCAACACTGAACCAACGCCCTAGCAAAGGGCGCTCTGAAGCACCCGCATTCACCTGACTTAGATTTTTAAGGCCGGAAGGGATCGTCTGTCTGACTTGGTATGTCGCTCACGAGTCATTAAACTTCATCCTGTCCTGAGCCCAGGAACTAAAGCATCTTTCCAGAAAGGCCAGCCAGTCAGGATCTGAAGCCGTTGAGAGACCGAGAATGTCCCGCTTCCCTTTGGAAGTTGGATTCAAGCAGTACTTCCCCCACACTGGGTGCTTTATTTTCCACAGCAATTTGTCTGGCTTTCATGTCCAGCCACCTTAGTATCTGACACTTCCTCCCCACACACTAATCAAGTCCTGTCTTGACCTCTTTGAGCTCTGTGACAAAATTAAAGTCAACCTAACTTATGTCCGCTTAGAGCCTCTGCAATAATTCATCGCTCGTGAAGATCTAAGCTTTGCTCCTCGTGTTGGTGTGGCATGGCCTCCTCAGGAGAGCTTGTATCCATTTGTCCTGTCAATGCAGGGCGTTGCAGGACGGCTTCTGAAAGCCAGTAACAGTCGACATAAGTAGGGAGAGGATCCAGAGTGACCTAGACAAATTGGAGGATTGGGCCAAAAGAAATCTGAGGTTCAACAAGGACAAGTGCAGAGTCCTGCACTTAGGACGGAAGAATCCCATACACCGCTACAGGCTGGGGACCGACTGGCTAAGCGGCCGTTCTGCAGAAAAGGATCTAGGGGTTACAGTGGATGAGAAGCTGGATATGAGTCAGCAGTGTGCCCTTGTTGCCAAGAAGGCCAACGGCATATCAGGCTGTATTAGTAGGAGCATTGCCAGCAGATCGAGGGAAGTGATTATTCCCCTCTATTCGGCACTGGTGAGGTCACACCTGGAGTATTGCGTCCAGTTTTGGTTCCCCCACTAGCAAAGGGATATGGACAAATTGGAGAAAGTCCAGCAGAGGGCAATGAAAATGATCAGGGGGCTGGGGCACATGACTTATGAGGAGAGGCTGAGGGAACTGGGATTGTTTAGTCTGCAGAAGAGAAGAATGAGAGGGGATTTGATAGCAGCCTTCCCCTACCTGAAAGGGGGGTTCCAAAGAGGATGGAGCTCAGCTGTTCTCGGTGGTGGCAGATGACAGAACAAGGAGCAATGGTCTCAAGTTGCGGTGGGGGTGGTCTAGGTTGGATATTAGGAAACACTATTTCCCTAGGAGGGTGGTGAAGCACTGGAATGGGTTCCCTAGGGAGGTGGTGGAATCTCCTTCCTTAGAGATTTTTAAGGTCAGGCTTGACAAAGCCCTGGCTGGGATGATTTAGTTGGGAATTGGTCCTGCTTTGAGCAGGGGGTTGGACTAGATGACCTCCTGAGGTATCTTCCAACCCTGATATTCTGTGATAAGCATGCTCGTGGAGGTGGAGTTAAGTTGGCGGCTGTCGGCGGGAGGAATATTGAAGTGTAGACGCTTCCACAGTCAGATAAACGTGAGCCTCCTTGCGTTGACCTGACTCTCTTGAGTAGTCTAGCTTAAGTCTCCCACTGTAAGCTGAGAGCACTGATTGATCATTACACCCTGCAGAACAGCAGGGGGCGCTAGCCCCATAGTCCAATCAGAGCAATTACATTCTGCCTCCCTGAGCTCCTAGGGCCGTTTCACGTGGCACATGAGCAGCTGGTCTTGGCTGGCTCAGTGAGGCCTACGGGCAGCAAGGTGCTGTCCAGATGAAACACTCGTGACTGAAATGCCGTATGATCTCTCCACACTAGCCGACCGTTACCGCCTCCAAAGACCAGCCTGCTCTGAGCTCTGCCGCTGCGGGGGACACCCCTGCTGCCAGCACCCCGGCCACCACTCAGGAACCAGCGCTGGAAGCCAGCAAACCTGCTGCCCCCGCTCCGGAGGGTCCCTCCCAGCCACTGCCTGAGATCCAGCGACAGCTTGTGGATGTAAGTGCCCAGCTCTGGGCAGGGGACTGGGTGGTATAACCTGGTGCCACAGCGTGGCAAAAATCTAGTGCTGCCAGGCAGCAGTTGTACAAAAACAAGTTAATTCTTGTGGGGCATTCTAATGGCACCTAGCTCTCTGGGAGCAGCTCCCGGCAGTTAGTGCTTCCTGGATCCACCTGGCATGTCTGTACACTGGGCGCCATGCCCCCTGGCTGTAGGGCGTGGTTGGAGGTAGAAGAATGAGAGGAGAGAGCTAGTCAGGACTGGCACTGGGTGAAACCTGATCTGCCAACTGTCCTGGCACGGTGCCCCTAGGGAATGGCAAACCCATGAGTCATGAGCCAGTGTCTGCAGGGTTAGACAGGGTGCAGGTGGCATGACCACTCTCTCCTACAGGAGATCATGGCTGGGTGGTGGTACCCCTCCTGCTGGCCCGCAGCAGATGGCAGCTTCTCCTTGAACCTCCTGCATTAAGCTCACATTGCCATGAGAGGGCTCTGGACCATCAAGCATGGCATCACGGTGGGCCATCCAGCCTCCAGCATGCTCCAAAATCAGCCCCTTGCCCACAGCCCTGGGGTTTTTTCTCGCCCCGACACTAGCGGCCGCTCATTGGCCACCCCCGGAAGCAGGAAGGCCTGTCGGGGTAGTCACTAACCTGGGGCTTCTCTCTGCAGACTTTGACGCCCGAGCCCGGGGGGGACCCTGCTCCAGCCCTGCTGGCATAATAGTGAGGGGATGCAGAGCTGCCAGCTGGTAAGGACTCTGCGAGGGGAGGGGAAGGCGTCGGGTGCCAATGGCTTGATATGGAAAGACTGGCATGACTGGGTGAGCAGATCTCTTCTGCTAGCTAATAATCCAGCTGGCCACCAAGTGACAAGGGCTGGTAGCTTAGCTGGCCTGTAGATCTGATCAGATACAGACTTGGGTTGGCCCCTGGCCTAGCCGATCTGGCCTCACCCCGTGAAACATACCTTGATTAAGTTTGGTTCAGTCTCCTGCTGAGTGCTGGGGTCTTCTCTGCCCCCTCACCCCCAGGGGCTTTGGTTTCAGAGTCTGACCACCTTTCCTCTCTCCTCTAGGTGTCCATCTTGCCCGTATCCAAGTTACCTCGTACTGCACAGAGACCCCAAACGCCACCCAGTCCCCCCTCTCCTCGCTGCTGATCGAAGCCAAGAATGTGAACCCCAAGGGGGGACTGAACACAATCTTTAAGTTAAAAAAAACGACTTTTTTTGAGAGGCTAGTCTCCCCACCTCCCACAGCTTCCTCAGTTCAAAGGGAAACTGGCTGTTGAAACTTAAGTTAATTCCCTCCCTCCCCCCCATTTTTTTTGAAGAGCACTTTTTGCAAACGTTGTGTGCAGTTTGGGTGTCAGTAAAGGAATTTGCACGGCCTCCTGGTGTCGCCAGATCTTTCCTGCCGTGCTGAGGGGGTTGGCAAAGACACTGTAGTCTGTGGATTGAGGTGGGACTCCTGGGTTCTATCCCTGGCTGTGGGAGGAGTCTCTCTGGGCTGAGGGGTGGGGGCTGGTGGGTTAGAGCCGGGGGGGAGGAGGGGGGGTGGCTGTCTCTTGTGCAAGTCCCATGTGGCAATAACATTCCTCTCCAATTGGAAGTGCTGTAAGCCTTCCACCCCCCCAGAATGCCTGTTGACCAGTTGTGGGTGCTCATGACACATGTCTTCAATTTGGCCTGTGATGGTGGATGCCTTTCTCCAAATATTGGCCTCCATGTCTCTGTGCCTCGGTTTCCCCATCTGTAAAACCCCTCCTGGGGCTGTCGAGAGCTAACTCTCCCTCTGTAAGGTGCTCTGACACCCCACAAACCTGTGGAGAGCAGCATGTGTTTGAGCATCCAAAGGAACCCTGTATTCTCTGGGGGATGGTAAGAGGTCCCCCACTGCCTGGCCAGCATGCTGTGTACCCCTAATGGAGGGAGGGGGTACCACTTAATCTTAACCACAGTAGAGAGTCCTAATACAAACTCTCTTCTTACTCTGAAACCTCTTCTTACAGGGGTCACCAGGACTCCTAATAGTTCCCAGGCCAGACTGGGTTTGAACTGGCAACCTAAACATGAGGTGGTCTCAGACTCAAGACCCCCCCACTTGACCCATTTAAACCAGCTGCTCTCTGGTGATGCAGGGCGGTCACAGACAGCATGGTTTTTAGTAGCATGGAGAAGTTTTTCATGGCTAGACAAGTCTTGCTTGGAAAAGACAGCTCAGTCCTTGTTTGGGTGAGCGAGATTCAGCAAAAGACACCACTTGGGTGGGGTCCAGGCAGACTTCCCCCAGTGTGATACACGAGCCGAGAGAAATTCTCATTCTCCAACCCAGGAGCTAGAGTTGAATCTAACTCTTGTGCGGCCCAGTGGCTGGTAAAGTTGACTTCTCGCTGAAATACAGCTGAGACTTAAATAAAACTGATTGGGGGGGGGGGGGGGGAGAGTGTTCGCATCCCTCTAACTTCAAAAACTTTTACTACACT